TTTCGATTTAGCCGGCAGCCGATTTGTTAGCCGTTTTGCAGAAAAAAATTAGCCGTTTTTAGCCGATTTTGCTATTTGCCTTGTTTTCTTAAATTTCAAATATGTATGTTTCCATTTTTGACTAAGCGACCCAAAATCTGTTAGAAATGGCTACTAGCCTTATTGTGGAGAAAATTTTCATGTCAGGCAGGATTTATGAAATTGGGCCGATTTCGCTTATTTTTATTTTAAACGAAGAAAGGGTTTTCTTTATAAAATGTTGGTTATAAATGTCTTAATTTTAAGTGTGAAGTTTTATTCGCAAACTTAGAAAATAAGAAATTGTTTCACTGTTAAGACTCTTAAGATTGGATATAGTGCCAAAAACAGAATAAATATTACACGTAGATATTGTCTTCCCAGATAGCGCATATTCAATTCTGCCTAAATTAAAAAACATAATTTTTGCCTACTCCCAAAGGTTTAAGGTAAGGGAAAAATTTTTTTTTTAAGCACTATATACACATATGTATTTTTTTAAACAAACTTTTTTGCTGAGAACTTATTTAAATTCCAAAAACCGCATGCCAACTTGAATTAAAGGAACCAACACTGAATTGAGTCAAAATGAAAATAAAAGAGCACAAATTTCTATGTAAAGCAAAACTCTCTGGGAATCCTACGAAGCATCTGCCGGTCATATGACCGGTCATCTAAATGGGAGATCTGCAGTCTTTTGGCATCATATTTTACATCAGAATTGAAGGGATTTCTGAAAAATCTGACCAGTTTTTTGGTGTAACTTTGATTTTGCATCCCTTGTCAACATATGGCCTCGGTTGATGTTAACTTAAGGTCGTTGTTTTACTGCCTTAAAATTGAAGGGAAATTTTTACAGCGTTTTTTATGTGTAGTGGTTTCTATTTGAGTGTATTGAGAATCGGTCAGTCTGAAAAGGCCTTGTAGGGAAGACAATAGGTTTGTTCGTCGAAAATCCATCGAGAATTATCACTCAAAATATCAGATAGTAAGAAAAAATGATCCCAAATTCTCTCTCGTGCAGAGAAACTTGCAATTTTCTGTACGAACGCAAATCTGCAAGTTTTTCTGCCAGCTAGTGTCCACGGTTGCATTTCAAACAAAAGAAATTTGTATAGAATTTTTAAAATTCTTTCAGAGGGGCAAAAAACAGGATCTACGTGTATATATCTTGTCAGTCCGACTTTCTTCAACATACGTTTCAATTTCTTTGTCGGGTTTACTATATCGACTCTGGTTGAGATTGCATTCCGATTAAGAATACAGTTTTATTTTTCCGAGTACCTTTCAAATCATTGGAATTAACTAAATTAATTAAGTAAACAAGTATTAACTTACATTTTTCATTTTAAAACCGCTCCCGTTTGTAAATTTTTAAATTTAACGAACTTGTTTATTCAAATTATCGTCGACAAAAAATCCAACCATGCGCCACAATCATATGTTTTTCCTAATTGCAAATTCTTGCTGGCAAAATTTTTTCCGGCTCGAATTTGTAACTTCTCTCCAAGAAATAGTCTTTTTACTCGTGATTTATTTAAATAAAACATACGAAATTTAGTTGAAACATTTTAGGCGGTTTTATTTGCCAATTTAGCCGGTTCGCCCAAAAAGTTCTGGCAACACTGGTCACCACGGCAAAGATTTTCAATTCCTCCACACTTCGACGAAATTTACCATAGTGAAAAGAAAAATGCAAATTAACAACACGAAAATGAAAAGAAACAAAAAACTGATCAGGACAGGGCAGAGGGGATGCTTGCGGAGGCCGAGGCCTGCTGGTGTCAGATCAAAACAAAAACTAAAATAAAAAATGGAGTTCAGAACGCTAAGTGTAAACAAACAAGCGGGAGACGGGGAAAGGAGCGGGTTTTTTTATATTTGCTTTGCGATTTGGTGATTGGTTTACAATTCTCGATAGTAACATTTGAATAGTACAATAAATTTTTTTTTTAATTGGGACTTGTTGTCAATTTGTCACCATTAATTTCTAAAAATTCAGAAAAAAAATTTCAAAATTTAGATGAAATTTTTTTGAATTTTTCTAAGTTATGTATAAAGTTTGAAAGTTTGACTTATGTGGTTTCGACTAAAGCATGAACCACGTTCTTTTAAAAAAATAACAATAAAAATATTTCAACTTGAAAAACATTGTAAATATTAAAAAAAAAAAACACCATGCATCCACCGACTTTTGATTGCCTGTGTAAGTACATACATACATACATACATATGTATGTCTAACAAATTATGGTTTGTTATCCAAATACCGATGTTATTTAATAATAATAAACTAGTAATTTTTAGCAAAAAAAAATCCGCTGATCGGATCTTAACCAGATTAGTATGGGACCACCTCTGAGACACTACCTTTCCGATGCAAAAAGAATTATCGAAATCGTTTGACGTGGTCCAAAGTTATGCGGTAACATACATAAAAAAAAAAAAAAAAAATATTCCGACGAACTGATAACCTCCTCCTTTTTTGGAAGTCGGTTAAAAATAATATTATATACATGTGTAGTACAAATGTATTTGTAAACTTAATTTCTTTAAAATTATTTCTGCAATCAAATTTTCCATTCAGCCAAATGCATAAATATGTATCTATGTACATATGTAATCGTACGAGGATATATGTAAATCTATTTTTTGAAGTATAGAAATTTTTAATATTAAAAAATAAATAAAATATTTTTTTTTGTATTAATACAAATGAGGTTCAAGGCACATTGACCCACCTCTACAAAAATCGTGGGGCGTCATGGACAAAAACTTTACAATTTCGGACCGAAAAATGCGAAAACGAGCTAAGTTGCCACGTTACATTTGTGAACTTGCGATAAAAGTACATATGTTTGTGATTTTAGAAGTTTTGATTTTATTAAAATAAATTAATATATTTTCCTGCAGAAAACGTACACTTTTATTTAATGTTTACTAAAATTACATCTTAAGAAACTAGTTAATTATTGAAATATTGGTATGGAACATGGAAATAGATTGTTTTGCAAAAAGAATTAATTAGTTGCCACTTTTCACTTGGCTGGCCGAGATTTCTTCATTTTAAGATTTTAGAATTTTTGTGTCGGATTGAAAAAGTTGCGCTTAATGGTGATGAATTTACGGGGAGATGTGCTGCGATTGTTTTTATGAATGCATGTACTACTTGACCTTGAGAAATACGCGCATAAGTTTATGAATGAAATAGTTATCGGTTTATTATTTATTTTATTTATAAATTATTGGTTACCAAAATTTTGTCCATACTGGGAGCAAAAATTTTTACACATAAAAACGAGTAAGGTGCTTTTTTGAACTCGACCGAAACCACTTAGGCGGTTACAGCGCCAAACAAGAGGAAGAAGACGACCCAATTCAATGGTCTATTAAACACTTTCGTTTTTAACTGCAATTGCCTCTGAAATAAGTTCATATGTACCTATATTTTTGTTCAGCAATTAGTAGTAAATTGACCGTGTCATTGAAAAATTTAAAATGAACGCTTTTGATTGTGGAAAACATTGTTTTGGAAATTTCAAAATGCCAAACGTGCCACTGTTTTTTTTTTCAAGTTCATTTAACTATCAGAGTAATATTGTAAAAAATACCTTCAACTTTGCAATGCAATGGGGAGCAACTTTATGCCATATCATCAAATGAGCAAAATTAACCTTCGCGCATGAAAGCAAACAAGCGACAAACTGAAGTCGACAGCCCGCTAAGTGATGTGTGCGAGTGCTGGCGCTTGTCACATGCAGCAAATAGCGCAACATAGCAAAGAGCAAGCAACAAAAGCAACCTGCAATTTTCACTTTTTGGGGGTTGGTACTCCTATACAATGCTGGCTAATGGTCATGCGTGGCTGGTGTGGTTAATTATTTTTTTTTATTGCCAAATAGCAATGGGTTAATCCATGTCAAATCGGCCAATGTTTGGAATCAACAATTTTTGATTTGGATGAATTTTGGTCAGAACTTTTCTTTTATGCATAACGAACGCTTAAGGATATTTTTTCGAAAGTTCAAAATTTCACCATTTTCCCGATTTTGCAAGTTAGTTTTTTTGCATTTTTCAAACAATTTTTTTTACATAATTTTATAATTTTATTTTGAGTTTGGAAAACAATTTTTTTACTTTCTAAAACATATTTTACCTACATTTTTTATTAGTTAATTTTTGTATGATTTTTTTTAATTTCAAAATTATGTAAATTTTTATTTTCGAATTTTCTTTTTATATTTTTTATAGCACTAAATATCAAAGTTGAAATCAGACCGAAACTATTTTTGTTACTATAATAAATTTTGAGAGATTCAAATATAATCTTGCAAAAAACAGGAAGTTGTGCAGAGAATTTCGCACAATTTTGAAAAAAAAAAAATTGTAATTGTTTCCTTTGACAGAACTTTGTTGTATCATAAAAGAAAAGTTCTAACCAAAATTCTTCCAATCAAAAATGGTTGATTCCAACCATTGGTTGATTTGACGTGGATTGACCCCAACACAAAAAATATAAACAGTGGACAGTTACATGCATATGTCGAAAAAAATAAACAAAACAAAATTACCTTTAAACACACATGACACATTTCCATACTTGCTATGCTGCAGTAACATCAAATTTTTTATTCTTTAGTTTTTTCTTTGCATTTTGTTTTGTATAAATTTCATCAACGAGCCACAGTTGAATGCATTCGTTAACTACTTATATAAGTGTGTATGTACAAGTAGTGAACACTGTGGCTTTACGCCGATTAAAGCACACTTTGTTATTACATTTGGGTTTTTTTTTCAATAGTCAAATCAAATAATATTTCTGTTTTTTTTACCTTTTACCTAAAATTAACCTCATAAATTAAGCTACTATAAAAGCAAAAACGCATTTTTACTGAAATTATTTTGCTGTGCGTGGCTGTGCGGTGTGACAATAACTAAAATACCCAGATAACTTCATCAAAAGTAAAAGTAAAAGTCAAATTATGCTGTCAATAAAATTATTTGTGTCCTGCGTGCTTTTGGTTGTCAGCTACTGCGTGAGTTCAAAAAATAAGAAAAGAATGTTGTAGTGTTGTTTTTCTTGGTTTTCATATATGTACATATTTACATATTTTCTAGCGCGCCGAATCGCCGGAATTTGATTGTCAACGACCACCACGCTTAGTGGTAAGTAAACAAGTGTTTTCAGAAGTAACGCAAAACAAAAGACTTAAGCTAAGAACTTGAGATCTAATGGTCGACAGCCAAATATGTAAGGATAAGGTGTGAACAAATTGTGCGTAATATTTTAATACTGCTTAACTTCGACTGTTTTAAATACGCAATGAATATTTTGATGATTGTAACTGCAGCGAATCTCGGCGATAAGAAAGATCAGTGCGTTCAAATCAATTGAGCTAAGATTTGATCTGCTGCACTGTGCCTTGTAAAGCACATACAGCTCAACATTATATCCTCACCAATTTTGTTTGACAAAATTAGACTTAATTCCTCAATTGGATTCGCATCTTGATAGCGAAAAGAAACGAGGTCGCCTTCATTTTTCGAAACTATAATTGTGAAACAGTCACATAAGTGTCGAGGAGCAAATGCGTTATTGACTGTTTGTTTGATGAGAGGAGATACTCTTTGAGACATTCGCTTTGCTTTCAGTATTATTATAAATTAGAAAGAGAAAAAAACAAATAAAACAAGTTCCTAAAAATTAAAATAAATTAAAGAAGAAAAACATTTTTCTTTTTAAATTAATAAAAACTAAAAATTGATAGAATATTAACTTGAAAATGAAAAAAAATAAATAAAATATTTAAGTTTCTAAAAATGAAGTTAGGTCTTTTTTTCAAAAAAAGTCTAGAAATTAAATAAAACTTATTTAAAAAAAAATAAAATAAGTTCCTAAAAATTAAAATAATTATAAAAACGGGGTTTTTAAAGCACTAGATCTAAAAGGAAAAAAAACAAATAAAAACATAATAAAAATTAAACGAAATTAAAAACATGTTTTTCTGTTTAAATTAATAAAATCTATAAGTAAAAAGAAAACTAACCTAAAAAAATACATAAAATAAATTTATAAAAATTAAGTGCAACTAAGAAATAAACAATAAATTCTAAAAATGAAATTACTCGTAAAAAGAAACAAATATTGAATTTAAAAAAACTCGCTATGGCAGCGCCAGAAAATTGAAAATGCTCAAATGCTTTTTGTCAAGAGAGCTTTTTACTTTCGTGCCAGAGAAATATTACGTTCAACATGCCATATGTTTAATAATACAAAAATTTTCATAAATTTTGTAATTTTAACGTCTAGCAAAAATACGGCACGAGAAAACAATAGAAATGCATGGCACGCGTGCCATAACCTCAGCAATACAAATTTTAATTTTACATATCGAGCCCTAACTGCCAAAAAGATGAAGTGAAATTTTTTTTCAAAATTTTATTTTTGATGCAGAAATGCATCTAAAACATTTCTGCATTTATTAATGCAGTGCCACGAGTATTTTAATTATTTTTTTAATTTCTATGCTCAGTGTATATCCGGCTTTATTTCAATAAGGAGACATTGAATTACTTATCAACGAATTATTATAACCAAAATGCTTTAAAACTACTCGTATATACTTTACACTCTATAACCTGCAGGATCCAACGCTTTGTTGTAAGGATGGTGGCTATGATCAGACCACAGAAGTTTGCGGCAAACGCATGGGTATAATCGGTGAAGGCAATCATGGGCCACCTACTGTGGAAAAAGCTACGGTACGTATGAGTACATACTTTAAAATAAAGATATCTTTCATAAAGTATATTGGAATAAATTTCTTACATCCCTTGTCAATTTTTGTTTAGAGATTAACCGGTTTCGACGCTGTGACATCCTCAGTGTCCCAAGAGAATGCCAACATGACACTGAATATGGCACAACGCCGAAACTGATTAGCCTCCCAACCAAAATTGACAACAACTGACGGAAATTTGTTCCAAAATACATCATACACCAACCCTGTCGGTGTCCTTAATTTTTGTCCTCCCCCGCACAGTGCTTCGCCGAGTGCATTCTCAGAGAACTGCATTACATTCAAGAGCCAGAGAAGCTCAACTACGAAACTATGCAAACTGATATGCAGGCCAAATACGGCAATGACACCGTCTTTGTGGACACAATGATGGGAGCGTTTCGCAAGTGTGAGCCTGATGTACAACAGAAGTTGCAAGCATTCAAGCAAATGACGCTTCTTGGTGCTGCTGCCGCACTACGACGTGGCTGTAGTCCATTCTCCGGTATGCTACTTGGTTGTACGTATATGGAATATTTCAAAAATTGTCCGGCACATCGCTGGACTGAGACCGAGGAATGCGCGCTCGCGAAACGATTTGTTACACAGTGTGCTTTGGGTGTAAAACAAACTTAAATATTAATTAAATACATACATATATGAATTCATGCATGCAATTAACAATATATTCAAGTTGATACGGCAGAAAAAAATATGTGTGTAAACATTTGATAAAATTTAGTACAAATAAATATTAATAAAAAATAAGTATGTAAGAATTTTCGCTTTTCCAACAACACATTTTGTATCAAATATTTAATTTACTTGCGAGATTTAGATGAAAGTCTTCGGGCAATGCAAAGGGATAAATGAAATCATTGCGATGTTTTCTCAAGAAACGCAACAACGTCTTCTCTACCTCCGATGTGTATTGCAAATTGGCCATCTGACGTTTCAGGAATGTCTTGCGCGCCTTACGATCCATTACCTGGCCCTGGTCAAGTGCAATGTTTATTCAAATATATCTTATATTATGTCCAATTCAAATGCCTCTTACCCAATTCATAATTTTCTTGGCTGTGTCAATAGTTAGCGTACGAATTTTGCGACGTAAATCATTAAATTCAGAATGCATAATCAGCTCCGTCCATGGTTCCTCAAAGAAATCAATAAAACTTTTGATTTCTTGCAAATACCAACGGGCATGCAAATCATTCAATAATGCCTCGTGGTGGCCCACAAAATATTGCAGATGATCGAAACTGCGCTTCTATGCGAGCACAAATGGAAATAAATATGGGTGAAAAATCAAAAATTTTAAATTATTATGAATGGGCATTAGATCGTGCCACCTTAAAAGCAAAAAAAAAATATATTATAAAAAACGTAAAAAGTTGGCCCCTACGTTCGGGGAAAACAATTTCTTATTGAAACTAACTTGCTAAAATACATTTGTTGGGGGTGTACGGTGAACTTTTTTTTCACCCGGTACGGTCTAATGCACATGTACATGCTACTTTTTTGATGCGAACTTACAGTTTGTGATACAACCACTATCTCCTCTACGATGCCATGCACATTGATGCGTACTCTTGAAAAATTACCATCGTATGTGACTAGCGAGAGCATATAGCTATTATCTAAATGATTTGCAATATATCGCTTAGGCAGAATCACTTTAGCCATATAATAGCCTAGTGGCAATTGAGCTTGAAAGTAGACTGGTAGTAAATATTTCTCAGAATATTCAACAACATCGTCCTCCATCAAATTGAGCCCATGTATTAGCTAGAAAGAGTAAAAGCTTTTAATTAAAGATTAACCAGCATTCGCTTAGAATATAAAACGTAAATATTACGTATTTTGTTAAGGCTGCATACGAGTACAATATAAAATACTTACATAAATATGTACATATCGAGGGCTTAATACTGATCTTGTATAGCGCTTGACAAAAGAATTTACAATAAAATTGCAAAGTAATAATTAACAACAGTAATGACAGGTATGTAAATCCCAGATGGGTTCTAACGTGACAAAGTAGTTTTTGTGAAAATTGCAGATAGAGGGTATTGAATATAAGCCCTCGATATCGACACCTGAGTGGAAGATTATTTTATTTAACATTACATATGGGCATTCCCATGGTGGCGCACGTGACAGTCGTACGATTTCAATGTGATACAAAAAAGGAATACCATTTGTTTTCTTTAACTTTTTTGGGCCATTGTATAGCACATAATTAGCTCTATATTTAACCGAAAAATTAAATCAATCGAACTGCTTGGTCCTGAAATATAAGCATTTAAAGAGGGTGTCGTTACGTGACAAAAAATGGAAGTTGATTTTTTTCTTTTCTTACAAAATCGCAAAACTCTGCGAATTGTGGATGGCTATTTTGATGAAACTTATTTTGATATGATTTGGAGCAATTCTAGTTGTTTTTAGAGTTTTTTTAATTAATGCAAATTGTTTCAATTCTCTTTTACAACCCCAAGTGTGAAACGTGGCGTGACGTGACATAAATTTCCATCGTTATATTTTTGTTAATATTGCTTTTAAATGAATTTTCAGCGCAAATAAAACATGTATTTTATGTAGAATATACTTTATATTTTGACTGCAGCGCCAATTCAGGGTCAATTTATTAGAAATCTATGATTTATTATGTTTCAACCACATGCGCCAAATTCGAACCAAATCGGACCATAAATACGGTTTTTCGAAATATCTCGACCTTGGCACCACCTAGGAAGACCAATTTATGCAAACATTATTCTTCTTACATAGCCAGTATATATTTTGAAAAGCAGACAAATCGGCCCGTAAGTACGTTAGATATAAAACTTTTATTTTTTTTTTGTCGTGGTGGACCTTCCGCTGGAAACACCCATATCGATGGCTGAGTGGAAGATCGACCTATCTCGGCTGCCAGTTCGAAAACGCTATATCTCAAAAAACTTTTCAAGAACGCCCTATTTCAGGATTTTATTGAAAAACACCCTATCTCAAAATTCGGTTCAAAAATGCCCTATCTGACTTCAAAATGTATTGAAAATATGCTGTTATAGGGCGTTTTTGAATCGGCAGCTGAGATAGAGCGTTTTTGAAACGAATTCTGAAATAGGGCGTTCTTGAAAAGTTTTTTGAGATAAAATGTTTTCGAACTGGTTGCCGAGATAGGTCGATCTTCCACTCAGCCATCGATATCATCTTATTTGTTTACATGTTGTTTTGTAGGTGGTCTCATATTTGAATTCGATCAGACATAATATCAAAAGGATAATATAAAATTTTGACCTTTATTTTATTCGTCCTGAATACGAAAAAGAATCTGCGAAGTGCAGAAAGAAAGTGTATTGAAAGTAATTTTTGAATGAGGATAATTAAATAGAAACTTGTAAAGAAAACCAACTCTCGATAAGGTCTGCATGACTACTGCATGACTTTACAACTAACTTAAAGTTAGTTTTATCATAGCTAATTAAGGGTTAGTTATTTATCGAAGTCCCGCAAAAAAGCTAACTAGAAGTTGGTTATTTTAATCCATTGATAATTTTTTTTCTGCAGGGATATTAGTCCTTAACGTATAATTTTACCTAAAATAAATATTGCTAACTTTCAAGTATATTCCAGGATAAAATGGTAAAAGAACATTTTCAATAACTACTCGTCCTTATGCACCGAAAAATGTGCATCTGCTTTATTTCAACAGAATTTTCTATATTGCATAGAATGTTTTTGGGAGTAATCGTATTTTTCATTTTTCAAAGTTTTACTATACTTGTGACCTGGGTTCGCGAATTTATTGAGTTTTGTGTGTAAATAAATAAATATAAAATTTTGCCTAACGAATTTCCTTACCTTAGCCGCTATTTCATCTTTTGCACAATGTTTGTATTGATGATTCGGAGTCACTCTCAAGCGGGTGCAATTTCCCACAACAAAGATATTCGGATCACTAGTGCGAAAATGTTCATCGATTAATATTCGAGAATCCTGCATTTCAATTCCTGCATTTTCCATTACTAAAGTGCACAGATGTAAAACATTTAGCATTGTGGAATATTTTTAAATAAACCACTTGCATCGCACTTACTATCCAATACATCCGTGCCGATGATGTGCGTATGAAAACTGACAAATAGATCACAAGGTAAAGTCATAACATCACCGTCAGGATGATGTTCGAATACAGCATGCGATATAATGCATTCACCCTGATAATATACCCATTCCTTTAGAATCCAATTTGATTCAAGTTTTACACCTAAATCCTCAGTCATCTCCTGTAGTATTAACTCAATATTAATATCCATATTGCTTATATTGTACTTCGCGTATGATGCATGTCCTTCCGCATCCCATGGCATAACCAAAGTAATGTTTTGCGCTGGTGTTTTGTGCTTAAGTAGAAAATTAATAAATTCAAAAGTGCCTAAACGTGAACCGAAAACGATTATATTGATATCATTGGCATTGCGATCATTCCAAATGGCTTGGAGTTTATAATAGAGCGTTATTTTATCGAAACGATTGTTCAAGTGCATATAGTTTGTTGGGCGTGGGCAACGCTGTACGGCTGGTGGTACACCAAATCGCTGACTTAATGCAAAAATTAGACTATGATAATAAAGCTCGCAGCCGTTGGCCAAGATCAATTTGCGTTCGTCTCTGTAAAATAAAGTGTAAATGTGCGCTTGAGCTAAATTGACAAAGTAGGTAGAAGGAACTTTAGCAATAAGCCTGTACAAATAGTTAATATAATAGACAATATGGTTAGCAAAAAAAAATTTCACTAATCTGTATTTTCTACCGTTTATGGGCTTAGGCCAAGACCGAAAACCTTCGCCAATTGCGTTTTTCCTTGCTGAAACTCCGTCAGTTACTCACACCAAGTGTAGATAGTTCCTTCTATTCTTGGTTCTTCCACTGTACTCGTGTGTGTCCATGCTTTCGTTGTTCGTCCATGTTCGCCATGTACACGATGGTAAAAACTCCTACTATTCATCATTCGATCTTCTTCGGAGCCACAGATCTTGCCTATAATAGTTTTCCCTAAAGTCCCCTTTTTGGTAGACTTGCAATTTTTAGGATGTGAAAAATATAGGAGTGTTTGAGTAAAGTCAACTTGATATGCTTCTAGCCGACCCGCCTTACACAAATTTTCAAATGCACACAGTTGCGGCGGACTACTAACGGACTCCTCCGCCATAGAATACAAAAGAATACTTTGAGGCAGTGTGGTGCGTAAATTAATAATTTTAAAGCTCGCTATAGTGCAGCATATTCAATATGGTCTATCTATGTTAGTTATCGAAAGTTATCAAGTTAAAGAAATTTATCTAAACATCGATATTGTTATCAAAATTGATCAATTAATCCATGTTTATTGAGTATCAATTACTCAAATTGAATTGAATGTTTATTAAGTTGTCGAAATTTATAGACAAAGAAACTTAGTTGTCGATAGTTATCGAGCTATAAAAATTTATGCGATTATCGAAATTTGTCAAGCTAATTAAATTTATCAAGTTATCGATATTTATCGTATTATCATTGCTTATGGAGCTAATAAAATTTATCGAGTTATCGTAATGCATCGAGTTTTTCAACCCATGGAGTTAACAATATTTATTGCTT